GTAGGGCACTCCTCAGCATCTATTAATCCAAGGTTTTTATCATTAAGATAGCCCAACGTCAGAGTAAAGACGCTGATCTGAGGAAAGTGTCACAAAAAAATTACTTTTGGAGCTGACTCTAAGCGGCGTCGTCTTGATCTGACAGATTCCCCCCAGAAAAAGAAAAAGAAAAAAAAGGATTAGCAACAAACTGAGTGTTATTTTGAAATGCAATTTTACTGCCAATGTGTTTTGGACGGCGTACGGTTGAATATGAAAGCAAAGCCGCCTCTTTGTGTCGAGCTGAAAATGAAAAGCATTCAGTTCTCACATTCATTTACTCACTAATGAGAAAGATGTGGCCACACAGTGAGGAGTCTATAAATACAGCGAGGAGGTAAATCTCGTGTGCAGCTTACAGATTCGTTATAACTACCACGGCTTTAATATCTGGATTGTTAAATAATTATGATTTGTTAATGGTTAACCCGGCGACTAGGCTCGGAAGATACAAAAATATTCAGGAGGAAACCAGATTATGGAAAGTTAATCCCATTTTCTTTTTGGATTATTGTTATAGTTTTTCTCACGCCTGGAAAAAAGGTCAAACTTGTAATTACAGAGTATATGTTTTGTCAATTATTTATAGGTCTATAAATCTGTTTCCTCATTGCTTAGGATCCCACAGACCTAAATTGCATGTTCAAACATTATAACAATTGCAAAATCAACCTTTTATTTTCATTTAATCACATTATAACCCAACATGTAGACAAGTATTAAAATGGTAACCTTTCCCTTTGCCACAAAGCGTTGTAATCACAAAAGAAACCAAAAGGTTGATTCGTAGAAAGAGAAAGGGCAGTACTTTCACACTGATCAAAGACACAGATGTGATGGCCCTCGGGGTTGGCCCTGTCTTGTTCATTCTTGGTAGAATTGAGGAGTGGAAGATACAACACACCCACATACTGACACTGACACACCCTCTTGTATTCACACTTATTAAGTCTCCCGACCTTTTTAGAACTCTGTGCTCCAATAAATGTTGAGCTATCCTCTGTACACTTGCTCCTTTCCTGTGCTTACATATACTATGTGCTAGGCTAATCTATATGGAAAAGACAACCACATTTTAAAGATAAATGCAACATATAGCTCGCAACCACTTTGTGGAAACTAATGGGGATCCAATTTAAGAATTAAAGCCAGCTAATGTTAGCAATGGTGCCTTCCTTTTGAACTGGGAAGTCATAATTTCCGAGATCCTAGTTGGAAATTTCATGCATTAAGAATATAGAGATAGCCAATCTTCCCATCAGTATCAAATTGAGACTGTTTCATAACCAGTTAAAAACTTCTTGTAGTATGTTTCATTTACTTAATTAAAACATTTATCATTATTTACAGACTGTGTGGTCTTCCTCTTATGTTACATATACTTATTGTGCCAGGTTGTAACACTGAGCATGACTGTTTATACACAGTTTTAATAAAATTAGCATTAATAACATTGCATTTAATGAATAGATTTTAAAATGTAAATGCAGCATTCTGGATGTGTTTTTATATGAATTTGTGGTGTCCAATCCATTTTATTCTGAAGATATTTCGGGCTGACTGCACGCACATATACATCCAACCCATAGGCGCAACCTGTGAACTCATTGCTCCCATCTGAACCCATAAAGTCAATAGAAGTCCTGGATTTTTGTTTGTAAATCCTGAGCATGTGCATATGCAGGCTAACTGTCTGTTCTCACAAGAAGTTAATTGCTGTCTCAGAGCTCCAGCGTTAACAACACTGCAGACAACCTTAGACCGCCTCTGAAATCAAAATCCACAACCCCTCCTCCCACCGGGGACGTTTGTGGCGATGAATATATTTATCCACATTTGCACTTCCAACATACTGGTGGATTGATCTCAAAGCTAACAAATCTCAGGCCACATTTACCTCTTTATCCGCAGAGAAAAGCCTTAAAGAAAGTGAACACACAAGAAGGTCCTGTGACACCACATGACACAAAACCTCTAAACTCACTCACAAAATTATGTGGTGTTTTCCATTTGATGTAAGGACGGATTAAAGCGGCATGGCGGGGAGGGGTTGAAGGCCACCTGATTTATGTGGACACATGGCGGTAAGGGGTTGGAGGGGGGGAGGGAGGGGTGATGGTGGCAACCTCACTGGTTTCATTATTCAGTATTAGTGGTACATTCAAATATAGCGTTGGTAGCTGTGTATTACAATTTCAGACACAGAGATACGGTTTCATAACTCAAACATCAGCAATGCTTGAACAAGCGTCTACATAGTGTCAGAGTTTCAACATAGTCTGTCGTGTCAAAGTCTGGACGCCTACACACACACACACACACACACACACACACTGCAGTAAAATCATGACAAATCAGGAGCTCAGTGTTCAAGAACTAAATGATTGTATCAGGATATCTGCAGTTATCTGAAGGCCAAAATAAACACTGGTGATATGTTAGAAGTACAGGAAAGGGATCATAAGGTTATTTTTTATTTTAAAAAGTGAATTTATTGGGATAATTTAATAAACTTTGTTGGGGGGGAAATTACAGAAGAGGATTGCTGCCACGCCAGAAAAAGAAGAATGCTTCAGTATTCTGTTATAATGTGGAAAGTTTATTGTTATAATAAGGGGTAGAGTCCAAACCTAGAGGGGTATGTCAGTTTTCAGTATTCACTATTTCTGAAGCCAGTTGAGATAATAAAATGGCTAAAAGTCGGAAAAACAATATAGTTTCCCAGGAAATAAAATCCCCCTGTAGTGCGTATCTCCTTCATCCTTCTCTAACCTCAACACAACACACTTTGAGGCTCACTACCTTCCACTCCTGCTACCTAAAAAGAGGCACAAATTGTCTGATATGAGTATTTTTAAGTTACATAACATATGTAGGGTGGGAATCTGGTAGGTAAAATGAGTGTTTGGCTTTTGTTATGTCTTTCAAAAGTTAGGGAGTTAGCTTACTCAATGAGCGTTTGTTCCATTTTCTGGAATGACACAAAGTTTAAGTTATTTTAAAAACCCTAAAATCTGGAGATGTTTTATCACATTATAACAAGAAACTTTTATAACGTGATAACTTATGTTACTATAACCGTTACAAAAATATATGTTATTATGTTATAGGTGAAACATTTCTAGTTATAACAATAAGTTATCACCAGATGTTGGGGTGCAGAGGGGGGCTGCAGACCTCCTGAAATCAGATGTAGCCTAATAAAAGCCCCCAGTTAGACTTTCTCCTTTCTTACTAGGATTTATATGCGTAGTGAGGTTTGTTTTTTAGCCGTTATATAGAAACAATCTCATATTTAACCCCAATTAAAGTAAAGCAGGTGAGATCTTTCCCACACCAACACACTCTGAGGTGTTTCAGGGTCCCACTGAATCAAAGTAACCAAAGACAGAGAGAGTTGAATCCCGCCAGCTACAGCGAGAGCACATCAGGTCCCGCAAACTACTGCCACTGTACAGTGACACATATATCAGCACGACAGGATGTGTGCTTTGGTTATAGAATCTAGATTATGAAATATATCTGGTAACTAGAGGTTGCGCTACTTATTTGAGGTTTAATTTGTCACATAGCATTTAGTATGGCATCTTTTAAACGACTGCGTTTCCCCCAAAATCTGACTTATAAAGTTATATATATATTATATTATATTATTTCTGGCGTGGCAGCAAAACACTGCCATAGAAAATACTCCTAAACTGTATTTTATGTCTTTAAAACACAGTTCTCAGTATATTAATTAACTTCTTAAGTCTTAATGTAATCCTCTTAACTAAAAAAATGAATGAATTTCACTCTACATTAGTCGCCGCAAGCACATTTTACATTTGCTTAGTATAAATAGGTCAAATGGCATGCAGAGCATCAACAGAGGTCCAGATTTCCAGACACCCAGTGTCTTTCCTGACAGGTGGCCTTGTCGCTGCTCAGCAGGTGTCTATTTTGGGGCGAGGTGTGACCGTGAGTTGGGAGGGCTTGTGGGAAGTATATCAGTGTTGGACTGAGAGAGAGGGAGTAAGCTGGGATGGTGAGGGAGTCTGAATCACACCAGTGGGTTAGAGAGCGCTTCAGCTCTTCATAAACACATGATCACTTCAATAACACCCACCCACACACACACACACAGTGTGAGTGAGCTGTCATTATCTGCTGATTAATGGCTCTGTCATTCTAAATAAAAGCTATTAAAAGTCTGTATTATGCTGTTTTCAAATTACTTTGGGATTGAACCTAGACAACTAGATCATAAGCACATGGCCAGAGTAAATACAGAACTGAGTAACAGTCAAAAATGTAATTTAATACTCATTACTCTTGTCAAAATTCATGATATTACTCTTTACAGTGCTTACTTACACTACTAGTTGTATAAAGCTTTTCCTCTACTCCCCATAAAATTAGTAATTTTGTCCTTTTCCCCAAAAATTCAGACTTTTACGCCGATTAAAATTCAGTTTTGTTTGTCTTAAATCAAAGTAATGTAAATATTTCCACCTTTAAGTTAGTTTCCTCCACAATTCCAAAAAGTAAATCCAAAGGATGTGATTGGATTTCAAATCAGTAACAAAATTAAGGCTGTAACTAATTATTTTTAGGGGTTGGTCTAGAAAAGTAGCTGCAGAGCAAACACGATTTCAGGCTTTGAGTTATTCCATCAGTCAGTCAGCAAGTAATTAACTTAAATAACTATTATAGCAACGGTATTGATAGCATAAAATAAATAAAATATCATGATAAAAGCACCTTTATGACAACAACAGTGCAACAGATGTCCCTTTAACTCCAGTGAAATACAGAGGAAATCACTGCACACTCACTATCATATCAACAGTGTCATGAGGAGGTAAAACCAGTGGAGCAACATTAAAGATATCCTCACTATAAAGTGACACAGGCGCACATTTAAGTCCTCTCACTGATTTGTTTTTTAATCCCAGAAAGTTTGGAGGTGGTTCCCTTACCGAGCCTCCTGCCGGGGTCCATCGTTTTCTCTGCCGCCTTCCTCGGCTCCTCTCTGGGGCTGGTGGCCGCTGACTTACCGCTGCCTAACATTGTTAAAAACTTACGGAAACTCCAGCGACTACAGCTTCAAAGCCTCCGTTAGTTCTGGGAGTAACACTGAGTCTGAGGGTGCAGGTGTGCTGCAAGATCTGTGCCTCCCTCCTCCCTCCACCCACCCCCAAAAAAAGACAGACAGGCCCCGAGCAGAGAGAGAGAGAGAGAGACAGCCGAGCGCAAAAAGTTATTCCTTTTCCACATGTAAGAGAGTCCCTCCCTCCCCGGCGCTGCTCTCCATGCCTGTGCGTAACATGACTCCAAACGGCGCACACTTTACGCACCCCCACCTCCTCCTCCTCCTCCTCCTGCCCCAACCAGCACAGTAAGAAAACTGACTTACAAGAATAAGGGATGGTCAATTCTGCGAAACTTTTAAACTTGACTGACAGTAAATGTATTTAGGTGTCCTTTAAATAAAGCTAAAACACGAAGTAACAAATTAAAGTGTCCGGAAAAGTCCAGAGAAGAGTTCAAACACAAATCAGGACAACAGTAGAATACATAAATAATGCTTAATGTTTATTTATACCCATTATTAAGATATAAACACTCAACTTCAATGGGGAAACATCGAAAACTTGTTAAAATATGATCGGAAAATGAGAGAAATTCTTTCATATTTCGGCTTTTAAAAGTTCTGGGACAACATTTAACCTGAAAAAGGCCAAATTTAATATTATGAAAGACTGTTTTCTCAAAGGTAAAGGGGATGGGTGAGAGTAAACAGGCCCAAAAATAATCCCAATGCATTTCCAATCAGTTAGAGTGCAGCGCCACCTGTTGGCCATGCAAAGAAACTGCGCACATCTCAACAAAAACAGTTCTCTTTAAAGTCAAAATTCATCTTCTACAGTCCAGATGTGTGTGCTGGATTTAATGAGGATGTGCTGCAAGAAAAGAGATTCATTTATTTACTTGTTTATTTATTTATTCAGTGAGTGTATGGAGAGACAGGGGGTAACCCACAGTACCGGAGCGCTGGCTGGGAAAACTTAATTAAGTCTTTCGTAATGGAGTTATAACAGAGAGGGACGGCGGGGACGGCCTGAAACTCTGGTGCTGTCAGGAAGAAAAGCATAAAATGTGGTCTTCCCTGATCCACAGCACCTCTAGGAGCACACACAGGTTTGGTCAGGGTGGGTGGAAGGCACTTAAAGTGATATGTTTCTACTCATTCAGTCTTTTAATGCAGCTGATGTTTGGAAAAAAATAAACCTGGACCTGCTGTCTCTTCATGAAGATGCACATCAGCCATTTCTTTAATCTTTACACATCAAGGCCGATGCATGGATAGTTATATATTATAACAATTTCTATCTTTCTCTCAATTGCAGCAACAACCATGTTAGACAGGGTGAGAGATTAAGTAATGCCCACTAATCCTCACAAGCTGTGATCTATGCAGGAGCAGCTTTGGTTTTTTTTTTCTGTGTTGCAGCGCCGCTCCTTGATTCGAGAATATGGGAACCCCTTGGTATGATTTCTCACTCTCCGTGGTCATTAGGTTTCATATTAACTGGAACGCTTCGGCCGCTTCCTCACAGGATTCCCGGCTCGGCCTGCTTATTTTTTTGCCAGAGCTGAAACTCTGCCTGCTTCTATTAGTAGAAACAGTAGGCCTGTGTTGTTTGTGGCCACTGGACTCCCAGTCTTCTGCAGGCAGTGTTAGGAGAGACCAGTCACCCACCATAAGAGGTCACAGACAGAATAACCCAGTTTTCTGCTTTTTAATAGAAGTGAAATTCTTTGAGGAAACTGGGAAAACTGCGTGTTTGCATGATATAGTGAAACATGCAAAAAGATCCAAAGTCTGACTGTTTTACAGAGATATTAAGTGTTTAAGCACTGCTTTAAAATACTGTGTGAATGTAAAGACTATGCAATAAAACAGAATCATATAAAAATCAATATTTGGACATTTATACTCCATAATAATGTTGCAATATTTCTTTTTATATCAGACAATAAGTAATGTCATTAAAGACAATAGTTATATGTAAAAGTTAATGCACAATGTGTGAGTTTATTGTTAGTTTTAAGCGTGTAAAACCCAGTTTAAAGCTAACTAACAGTAAAATAAAGGAAGGCTTCAGTGCTGCCTTGTAAGATCAGGTACTGTCTACTTCCTGAAACCAAAACAGTTCATCGAGGGTTTATGTCGCGGATTATTGCGAACAAAGGCTGATTTTCTGTCCGTTTGTGTATTAACACAGCCTCTTGTCTGCATCGATCCGACGCAGTGTCACAATGTAAATGTGGAAATTAATAATAATTCTGTAGTGGAAAGCTCTCACCGGGAAACGATACGCCCTCCAGCAATTTACAACGACCCCCATGATACAACAACACTGGCCCTACGTTAGCAGAAGGCTAACGTTAGCTACTTCTGGTAGCTAACAGTATTGGCATCTTATATTATTATTATCTACTTTAATTGCGGGTTCGCTGCAGCTGTATCGATAAATATATATTAATAAAGGTGACATTTAATCTAACATCTCATCGACAGTTCATGGTTTATGAGTTATGAGCGTTAGCACTAGTTAGCCTGGCTTTATGTAGCTTACAATATGGCAGTTATACTTTATACGGACTATAAACCGTTGGCTTTGTAAATGTACTTAAAATTTAAACGTTTATTTTCACTTTAGTGCGTATTCACACTTTATATAAGTGATGCAGTGTTATTTATATTTTATTTTTTTAGTTTTGGCAGCGTCACCACGTAGCGCCCGTTGGGCTAACTAACGTTAACCGTTGGCTAACGACAGCTAGTTAGCTTATCCTTAGCTGTGAGCACGACACACAAATAAACCGTTAACACTTTTGCACATCAGAACGAGGGGGGGGGGAGGTTGGTCTGCGCAGAAATTACTCATAAAAGCTTAAAAATCTACACCACTCCGTCCAACCGGTAGCGTGATTATTGAGATCGCCTGACCCACCCTTTAACAACGAGGGCTCGGAGCTGTGCACGTAGCGGCTGCCTGACAAGAAATGTCGTTTGTTTACGCTGATTCCAGAGTTCCCCCCGAGCCGCTGCCCTTGCAACGTATCACTCCGCACAACACCCAGAGCACTCATAACGAAACGTTTAATGGGCCAACCGGCAACTAACCGACGTCTTTTTATGCTACTGAACATTTAGAATTATTTAATTTCGATAATGGGCTGTTTTTATTTATTTTCTCGTGTGAACATTCAAAACGGACTAGTTTCCGTAAGAGGGTTTATTCATTTTGTTTAAAAAACGGGAGTTTTTTTTGTTGTGTTATTAACTCGGCGGCAGACTGTGTGGCAGCATATAAAAATAAACCCTATTGTCTTACGTATAAAATGTGTTTAATGTGTTTCACTTGTAAAATAATGTAATTCGAAAGTATATACATTCACTTATATTTTCTAACTTTTAACCGTTACCCCTTATTTGCACATAGTAGCGTCCATAAAAATGCTCCGGGCTGCTTTGTTGGTGTGGATTACGTACCTCTGATTGACTACTGGCCCGTCCAATCAGAAAATACTTTAAGCTTAGCAACAGCAAAGTTACCCTCTTGTCCAATCAGGAGAGAGAGGTGTGGACTCTATCGCCCTCGCGATTGTACCATTTGATTGGTTAAACCGCCCGTCAGTTGGGGCGGACTTGTGGGCGATGTAGTTCAGTGCGGAGGCTTCGCAAGCGCTTCGCCGAAATCAGAACCCCATGTCCCAGAATTCAACAGGAGTTACAAGCAGCAGCATGCGCGCGGCTGGAGGCGGAGCTGCTATATAAACACGAGCTCCCTCTTCTTGAGTAGCACACTGGACACTGTTGTGACGGTGGAGCGTCGTCTCCGGGTGAACGTGAGCGGTGACAGCATCGAAACAGTTAATGGTAGTTAGCGACAGTTGCTCTGACAAACCCTTGGAGGAGCAACAAGTGTTTACTTTCGGTCGGCGCGAGTTAGTCTTTTTTTTAAAAAAACGTCCAAACTCAGAACTTTGAGTGACATCGGCTCGTTCTGGAACAAGTGTATTTTTGTTCAAATTAACGGTCTTTTAACGAACTTTTGAAGCTCCGTTTTTTTTTTCTCCCCCCCCCCGAGGGCGTGAACAATGGGGCGGAAAACAATGATCTTAAAATGCGCTAAAAAGAACCACCGAAACAACCACGCAAAGACGTACCATCGGACGGATCAACGGGAGACAGAGCCAGCGACAAAACAACAAATCCACCTGAACAAAACATTACAGCACCCATCAGCGTGGATCAGGCGAGACGAAAACTATGGAAACAAGAAACGGGCGGGGGGCGACCCAGAGAAACAGGAGCAGCAAAAGAGGAGAACGCAGAGAGAACAGAGAAGAACGGGGCTGAGACTGTGGGATATCAACACAACAAGTTATGGCAAATGAAGCACAAGAGGGTTGCCACGCATTAGAGAACCGGAAAACGGAGCTCCCAAAAGTGCTCGTTGCAGCCCAAAAAAAAAAGAAGCCGATTGCACGCAACGTGTGGGACGCATCACCACTCGCACGGGGAAAAAGGAGACGGAGAGAGCATGGGGGAGAAACAGTAGAGGCTCCATAAGGACACAGAAGATACACGCGCACAAACTCAACAGAAGAAGCCACGACTAATTACAAACCTTCCTGAGAAGGAAAAGCGCGAGGAAAAAAGAGAAGAACGAGCCAAGGGCTATACGGTGGGGAACAGATTTCGACCACTC